GTAGGGGAGCGGTTGGTCCATCGGCCCAGGGGGATCTGAGGGAGCGTTTGATCCGTTGGCCCGGGGCGATGTGGGGGAGCGGTTGGTCTGTCGACCCGGGGGGTCTGAGGGGCGGCTGGTCATGGGCTGCGCAGGCTTCGGGGCCAGAGACGTGTGCGGAGCCCTCAGGGGACGGCCCTGACTCCCGCAGCCAGGCTGCAGTGCTTCCCTAGGGTAGAGCACGATTCTTAAAAGTATTGATGCCTACACTACGGTGTTAACGGTTGTTTCAAAAGAAGGATGGACTCATTTCTTTGTATGTTTAAATCCTAGTTTAGAGCTGTGTTTCTCCCTTGATTTCTGTCTAATGTGCATCAGTGCGAAATAACCCCAACAGCCTGTGCTTCTGCACGTCCTGTCTTGCCTGATCTTTGGCCACAAACTATGAAATGCACTCACTGGCCTTGGGCAATAGAGGTTTCCAGATTTTCTTTATGTAAAGGTGCTGTAGGGATCGTGCAGACAGGCAAAAGTCACTCCTTGTGGAATTAAAGAGGAAAAGACTTTGGTTCTAAAACTTCTGATCTGTTTAAACTTTTCAAAGCCATTTCTGCTTCGCTTCCCTTCCTAGCATTTGGCTTGCATGCTAACAAAGAACAGGCTTACTAAAGCATATTATGTTGAGTAGAGTTTGAAATTGAAAGCAGTGGTGATGTTGACTTCATTCTGATTTTATTTGTTTGGTTTTTTAGGAAATCAGCCATGATACCAAGAAATTCCGGTTTGAGCTACCTTCACCAGATCATATATTAGGATTACCTGTAGGTAAGTACTGAAAACACTTCATTACATGTATTTCTGTTTTTAGGATTTATAACTGTACTCATAGTTCTTGGACTTCTGACTGTTTGGGAATTTAATGCTCAGCAAAGCAAGGAGTTAAAAGCTGCATCTGAATGCTGCTGTGTCGGAGAGAAATGTCAGATTTCCCAGAGGGTTGTATTTCTGATCTTTTGTGTGTGCTTTGTTCTGCTTGTGTTAAATTGTGAGCTATAGTTTAGAACAAGAACAGTGAAACTGAACCAAGTCTGAAATTCACCATCAGTCAGGAAATAGGCAAGAATGGTATCTGTCAAAGCTTCTTCATATTTCTTGTTTGCATTCTACTTCCTTCTGGTGCCCTCAGTTTATTGTCAACTGCCCTCATGCTTTTGACAAATACAGTCACACTTGTAGATGAGAAAGAGAACAACTCTTTTGCCTGGGAAGCTTGTAACTATTCTGTGCAGAACAAAGGGGAAAATGCAACTACTGTATATAGAACATGCTGAAATATTCACAGCCTTTTCTGTGTATGTGCTTACCTTTGATTTGCATACATATGCGTACATTTTAGTCTTGCTTTCTGTAGCATGAAGTTCATTTCAGACTAGGATTGGCACAGTTTTCTTTTCTGTACCCTGCAAAACTGGTGGCATTGAACCTTGGACCTTGAATTAATGGTAATCTATGCAGGGGAAAGTCTGCCTTTCTGATCTGCAGATGTGGCAGATGTAGCCCCGTTTGCGCTGTATTATGCTTTGCAGATTCCCTTGCTGTATGGCAAGTGTCAGGGCCTTTCCCATTCCACGCTGTGAGCATGTCCTTCTTGCTTGCTGCTTGTCAAGGGCAGCAGTCTTTTCTCCACATTCTCTTCTGGCTTGTATGGGAAAGTGTAATTGAACTGTCCACGCTAACTAGACAAATGATAAACAAATTGAGATGTGCCCTGCCATGCTTGTGTTTATCCACACTTTATTCTTACGCATTTAGGAATAAGGTCCGGAAACTGCACGGGCCAGATTGCTTCCTTGGAGATTCCCACCTTCTGCTTTTTACCAGGATCATTTTGCTAAAAATAGTTTTCTGCCAGGACTGTTCCTGCTTTTTGTTTTTCCATACAACTCTCTAGATTAGTGCTGTCTGGCTGAAAAGACTACTGTTGGCAAGGAGTTTCAGTTCTTTTAACCAGCAGAAAGAAACGGGTGCCTTTTAGAGTCTGCCTCTTGGAGTATTAGGTTCCAATGCTGTGGAAGCCGCAATGTTGCGGAGGGAGGAGTTATGGAGAAGGAATATGGCTCAAGGCTTTGTTCTTGTTGCCTTGGTGCAGAATCTCTGGGAAGTTTGCTCTGAGAGACTGCTGCTGTTACACCATAATACTTATTTCTTTCTTTGTCTATGCGAACTGGTGTATCCTTACTTTCACTTCATTAATAAATATGAGAACAGTAGAACCCAAAATATAGAGAGCACTTGAGAATGAGCAACAAACATTCTATACCTCTATTTTATTACAAATTTCCTACTTTCTTAGTGTCTTATCCTTGATTTTGTAACGTACTGGCTTTCCTCTGTTACCCCATGCTCCAGAAACTCTTGCTGAAAAAAGGAAACAGACTAGATGTTTTATACAGTATTTATATGGTAAAGATTTTCTCCGTCATCGCTTGTGTTTAACAGGTTACACTATTTGCTTTTTCTCTCTTGTCTTGTCCTCCAGGCCTGAGACAAGTTTGAAACCAGGGATGAAAAAATAAATAATCAGATTGTAATTCTTTCTCCCTAGGCCAACATGTTTACCTTTCTGCAAAAATCAATGGTAATCTGGTGATTCGAGCCTATACCCCAGTTTCCAGTGACGAGACCAAAGGTTATGTTGATTTAATTATAAAGGTAAATTTTGGTTTCCTTTAATATAGATAAATTGATAACTGGAAGGAAGGGAAGTACTTCCTTTTAGTGAAATATAGAGTTGATTTTGATTGATCTTCTTTCAAATAGGATGACTGCATGGCAAACAACTCATTTCACATTATCCTTGAATAGTAAGTTGTATCCTGCGTATCTGCTGTACGTCACTGAGAGGCAGCAGAGGTAGGGAAGATGGCGCAGGGAATCACTTCCTTGGCACTACTGCAGGAACTTCCCTAGTATCGTTTTTTTGGCAATGCACGAATAGCGATCACTCTCCCTCAAGCTGCCTATGCTGCTACTAGTATTTACTGCTAATAGCTGTAAGTAGGAAACAAGTCAATAAGAACTGCTCTCTTAGGTGATGCTACAGAGATTGCAGTTATACATCTGTAAGTGTCAGAAGTTGTGCTAACATGTTTATTGATTAAGAAAATGGGATACAGAAACAAGGCAAATCCTTTAAGCTAGGGAATGCAGGATGATTTGATCCCAGGACTTCTGGATTTTCTAATCATTTTCTATGACAGAGTTTGTCCTTAGGTAAAAATCTGGGCTTTTTTGAGTGCTCTGTTCTTCATGTTACAAGTATGGTGAATTGTTGGTAACTACTTAACACTTACGTGCTTTGAAAGGTGAAAAAGCTGTCATGTGGCTGAAGTCTCTGTGAAAGTCTTAAAAAGAAAAGATGCAGCAATGCTATTTTCAGAAGGAGCGATCACAAAAACGGGGTAACATAATGTTCTTGCTGGAGTGATAGTGAAATGAGGGCACCAGTACATGATCTGCCTGCCACCTATTCCTGTTAGCCTGGCTGTTTGCGGAGAGCATGGGAACTTGTGCATGAGAGAGCATTTTACTTATTTTGGCTGCTTCCTGGTGCAAGGCACAACAGATAACTGAGAGCAAAGAATTTTCTCAATTTCTTTCTCAGATACTAAATTTCAGACCTGCTACATTGTGTTCTACAGTTTGTAATATTGTCTGCAGGAAAGCTAGTGGTTGATATCAAATTATTGTTTTTACAGGTCTACCACAAAAATGTGAATCCCAAGTTTCCAGACGGTGGGAAGATGTCCCAGTACCTAGATGACATGAAGATTGGAGATATTATTGACTTCAGAGGGCCAAATGGGCTCCTTGTCTATAAGGGGGCAGGTACTGTGACATGAAGGTGGGAGAGCAAAAGGGATGAACTTGTATCGGCTATTTTCAGAGGTGTTTTATAAAACTTGACAATTTTGTAGAAAATCTGTTTTAAAAAGTGGAAAAGAGAAAATCCACCTTTCCTGGTCTTCACCAAGAGCCCATCAGAGTTGATGTGATGGGAACGAGTACTTTGTGTTTACTTTGTGCGAGGAATAGCTGGTTGTTGACTCACTCCTGGGACCATATAATTAAATCTGAAAAAATCGCTATTGAATTATATTACTGAGAAGGCTGCACTGGAAATAGTACCTCAGCTATACATATGGAGAGAGATGTCCAGGTGCTTCTTGAGCAAGGGAGGCTGTGGCCTAAAATGCCCTCTGAGGATCTCTGTGTTGTTACTGAATAACCTGCTGTCTGTGAGCCAGCTCTATTTCATGATTAAGCCACATCTGAGTTGACTGGGAGGAAGTAAGTTCAGAGGAGTAATCCTCTTTCAAGATGCAAGTGAAAGATTTTGCTTTGATCTTGACTGAGAGGCACCATGCACTTAACTCCTACTTGAGGGGGATAAGAGCTCAGCGCTTCTCTGGATCATGACCTTTTATGATGAGTAATATACTGATGAATCTGTTATATCTCAGAGGAAACGAGTGATGCGTAGCTTACAAATGTTCCTTTCTGCTCCGCTTTGGCTGCTATAAAGAGTAGCAGCTAGGAAAGCTTGTTACTAGTTACAGATCTCTTAAAAGATGATTGGAATACGTCAAGGGCTTTTCATATAAGATACTTTTCATGGGCTTTTCGCTTGGCTTGGTCCCTGGAGATTAATTCAGTTACAAACTGTCTGGTTTTGTGACAGTTCTGAAGCAATGGTATACTCAGGTGTGGAGCAGGAATCGGCAAGGTCTTCTCATCACAGGACACTAGAAGGCAGTCGCCTAGCTGTCAGTGAGTGTCATGGGGACCTCATGAGCTGGAAATGAATTACAATAATACAGTGCTTGATGATAAAAGTATGCAAAGCTCCACCATTCCCGATTCTGATCTTTGCAGGGGTTTTTGCTTGATGGTGGTTTAATACAACTCCGTTGAATGTGGACACACACAGATGGCTAGATCCATGGTGCAAGTGAGGATGATGAAGATGGCCTAAGAGACCTGCTTCTCTGTAGCAGGGGCTGTGGTTATCTTTAGCTACCACTAACATTCACAGTTGCCGAGGTGTGTTCTAGGCAGGGATGTGGGAATCCTTGAGTTTATTATGAATTATGTTGGGTAGTAGGGAAGGAGTAAATCAGTTGTTCAAAGCTAGGATTGGAATTTACAGAGACAAAGAGGTTTCTACTCTTTGTGCTCAATGCTGTGCTGAGTCCATTTAGCATTTCCAGAAGATCTGTCCCAGTTAATTGGTAGGCTGTAGTTTGCATCCATGTTTGTTTAGGAGTTAATGTACCTATAGGTTTTGAATATTTCTTCTAGGTACCTTTCTTATCAAGCCTCATAAGAAGTCTGAAGCAGAGAAAAAGTTTGCAAAGCATCTTGGGATGATAGCTGGAGGAACAGGTAAAACTAGTCTCATCATATGGAATGTCTAGAGAACAAAGACGTCTTTATGGATGCATGTGAGGAGTATCCAACACTGTACTTTAGTAGCAGAGCGCTTCCACCTGTATTTATTTTCATGAGTGTTTGGTGACACTGAGGCTTTCCGGTGGCTTGAGCTCAGTCCTGGGAGATAGCAACTTTGGGGTCTTAGTCTTGATTTACTGTGTGACCTCAGAGGAGTCACTTCATCTCTCTGAGCTTCAGTTTCAATGACAAAAAAATATTTTAGGAGAATGTCTTGAGGGTAAAATTACTGTATGTGATAGAGAATGCTGAAGAGGAAAGCCCCAGATACAAGTATTGTGGCTTCATTTTTGTTTTGAAACGATTTGCAATAATAGAAACCCCCAACCTCTGCATTTGGCATGGATTAGAAATTCAGAGATATGTAGCCCTGTGTAAACTAAGCTCCCACTGAAGACTGAAGGAAGGCAGCATTCATATTGAAACTGCAGCCTTACGTGGGTTGAAAGAAACACCCGGTTTTTAACTGCTTTGTTTTTTAACAGGAATAACTCCCATGTTGCAGCTGATCCGCCGAATCACAAATGATCCTAAGGACTCCACAAAATGTTACCTTCTTTTTGCTAATCAGGTGAGTATACCGACTCATCTGTTTTCCTTCTTCAATGGCCTCCTTTTTTTGCTGGCCTCTGAGTTTTTTAAACTGATGGGACATTGACCCCTGGAGAAAATACTGCTCTGCATGTTTCATCTCTGCCATTGTCTTTGTGTTTGTATTTTCACCCAGTCATTTATGAGAAAATATTACCTGAGATAGCACATTTAAAAATGATCCGTATAGGGAGGAGCAGGAAATGGTTATTATGCAAGTTCTTAATCTGTTGTCTTGGGTTAAGACGATTCAAAAAGGAGAAACTGAATAAAAAAAAAATTAACCATAAGGCCCTTTATAAATGCTGCGTGGTGCTGTCATAGTTCCCATGATCTTTTATTTGTTTTGAAGATGGCTCCTCATAGTTTCACTTACACTCCCTAATTCCTGTATTAGGGAATAAATAGTGTGAACAGATTCTTATCCCTCTACTCATTTTATTCCTTCATTGATTTCAAGGAATCTGAATTTTGTTCTGTTAATCTGTTTCTACAGTTAACCTTCACCATGCTGGTACAGGGCTGTATTTGCCAGGGTCAGAGACAAATCCAGCTATTTGTGATTTTAGCCTGGATTAAAGGGTTGTTCAAATTGCCATCTATAAGACAGTGTTCAGGTGGCTATTAAGTCTCATAGTTTGTTGTTCTTAATCTGAATTTACAGAAGCCTGTAATGATAATAGCCTATCATGTAAGGGGAGGAAAAAATTAACTTTCTTGGTTTGAACGAGTTATCATTGCATTTGTCTTGTTGAATGCCAGATGAGCTCGCATTAGAGGGCGTCTTGAGGTGGTTTGGAGCTAAGCAGCAGTCTCATTTTGCAGACAGAGAAAGATATATTACTGAGAGCTGAGCTGGAAGACATTGCGAAGAGGCATCCTGATCAGTTCACGCTTTGGTATACACTGGACAGACCTCCACAAGGTAGGCTACTGGTACCTACTGGAAATGCCTTTGCTCGTCACAGTACAACAGTCAGAATTTCACTCTTGTTCAAGGGCCTGTTAGTATAATATCAAGTCGTCTTGTCTTACACTGTTTTAAACAACAAAGAGACTCCCCACCCCTCAGAAACAAGTCTTACCACACCACCTGTTTTGAAAAGTGCTCTAAACCAGGTGGGCCTTAGAAAGTGTGAGCCAATAATTAACTCCCATTGGGTGAGACACGTGCTACTCAGGATCTTGTGATGTATTTCAGGATGTGCCAGTTTCTTGGACTTTCCAGCAAAAGTTACAGCTCCGTTCTGGGCTATCTCCCGAATCAGGTTATGTTAGCATTTTGTTGGCATTAAATTGCTTAATACCTGTAAACAGAACATGCACATCTTTGTTTTGCAGCAGCTGTAGGTTAGATTCTGGTAAAACAGAGCTGCCATGTGTATAGATTAAAGCATTCACTGTAGGCTGGTGTAGTACTGAATTAGAAAGGGGGGGAGAGGCTGAACTCCAATGAATCTCCTTTGAAACCTGGGTATTCATGTTTGCCGATGTTAAGTGATCTGAGCTGCCATTTCACAGACACAAGAGCCAAACTGAGTCAGATCAAAGTTCTGTACCTGTTGTCAGCAATAGCCATGAGTAGATGGCCAGAGAATTGCAATCAGCAGGCCTTGATACTCTTTCAGCCTTTAATATTTCTCAGTTCTGAGCCAAATGTATCTCTATAGATGTAGTAACCCTCAGCGGACTACTTTTGCATGAACTTCTTGTGCCTCCTTTGGAGCCCGTGTGAGCTTTTTGGCAGTGTGTTAGTGGTTCCATAGGATTAGCACTTTTGTGTGAAGAATGACTTGCTCTGGTTTGCATTTGCCTCTTAATTCTTGTGTTGGAAGGGAGTGTGAATAGGTCTTCACGTAACTAACTTTACAGACATCTATCAATCACTCCTGCTGCCCCATCCTTTCTATACTGAAAATTGCTGGTCTTCCCACATAGCAGTGATGATGACATACCTTTGCTCATCCTTGTTCTCTCAACCTTTCTGAGCTGAGCAGATCAGAACTGAACAGCAGTAGTCAAGATGCAGGCAAACTCCGTATTTTTATTTGACGTGGTGTTCCCTTTTCCTAATACTTCTTAACATTTCATATGCCTTTTGACTGCTGCTGTTTTCATAACCCCAGTATCTTATTCCTGATAAATGAGCTTAAAGCACATATTTTTATATGTGAAGGCAGGATTATTTTTCCTACTTGGCTCACTTTAAGTGGCAGATGCATTCAATAATATTACTGCTTGAAATCATTTAGCGTTTCTTTCCTCTTTTTTTTTTTCCTCTCATCACTTAACTACACAGCAGAACTTTTGTCATCATCAAACTTTGTCACCTCACCATTTGATCTCTTTTCCATTTTTTTTTTTTTTAATGCGTTGGATGGCGCAGGTCTAAATACTTCTGCCTGCACAACTGCCCCTGAGTGACCTCTCTTCACTGGAAAAGCTGATTTACTCTGCCCGTTTATTCTTGCCTGCTGCCTAATTTCTTTTAAATCTGTCATTTATTCAGAGACTTTCATGTCTTATCAACCAGATCCTTGTTATCCACATGCTTGTTGTCCCTGTCGAAGGCGACCACTAGGTTTGCGCTCAGTGAGAGATTTAACCCTCTCTTGGCTTGCAGTGATGGTGGCATAACTTCGCAGATTCTTCAGCGACTTTGTGGGTACAACATAGGCAGTTTAAAAAGGCTTCAGACTGTACAGAGATTCAAATTAATAGTTTAATTTCTTTGTTTCAGATTGGAAGTACAGTTCTGGCTTCGTCACTGCAGACATGATTAAAACCCACCTCCCTTCCCCGGGCAGTGAGACGCTCATTCTCATGTGTGGGCCACCACCTATGATTCAGTTTGCCTGTCAGCCCAGCCTGGACAAACTTGGCTATCCCAAGAGCAGTACATTTTCTTATTAACACTGATGTCATCTGATACCTTTTTGTAAGTACTGCGTATTTTCCTACAGGAACAACTGGTCTGTAACTGTGCAGTATTTCTTTTTTTTGTGTGTAGCTTTTTTTTTTAACCGCTTAATGTAATTTGTGTGGTTTATAACTTCATAATTACCTTTGTGTGTTTTAATACTAAGAAGTTGAGAGATCATCTTGAATTGTGTGGAAGTAACTTAGTCTAACTTCTTAAGTTAGTATGAAATGTTAATTCTGAGAAAAAAAAAAGTGTAATCGGAGAGGTAGGACAGAGATAAAACCACTTGCTTGTTAACATGGGTATGGAATTTGGGAGAGGGCTATAAAACTGGACTAGGATTATTTGACTGTGCTCTATAGGTAATTCATTTAGCGCATCCTGCAGAAGGAGAGTACAAAGAACAGTCTGTCTTTTTTTTTTTTTTTTTAATGCTGTTTTGTAGCCCTTTACCACGCACTAAGAAAGAAGTTACAGTATGCTATTGGAAAATTGAACAGCATTTGGGTAACACGCAAATTGCTTATTACTGTAACAGAAATTCTCATTAGTGTGAAATTTATTCAGGTGTATTGCATAACTTCATGCTGTCTTCTCACAGCCTTAGCTAAACAATCACTGCCAACTGTATATGGAAGTTCTGGGCTGCATATACAGACCTAACTATCCAGTGATGTTACATCATTTCAATGTCATTCTCTAAGTGCAGCGCTTGCTTTTTTGGCAGTTTCAGAAATTTCCTTTGCTTAAGAGAAAACATGGCTTCTTCCTTCCTGTTTTAAGTTGATCTTAAACTCGGCTCACGCCTCAGCTCAGTGCTTTCACCACATAGCGTTTAATTCTTAGTCTTCAGTGCCTGAAGTACTGCATGTTCATTTGCAGGAATTAGTTTACACTAGATTTGTTTTAGGGTCTGGCAATCCCTGAGCCAGAAGACTTGTTTCTTCAGATGCTAATGAATACAGTTACTGAATATTTTTATTCATCTAAAGCAAAACCAAAGGAACCGACTAGTTAAAAATTGGCATAGGGGGCTTTGTACTTCATCAGTCACATTCGTGGCAACAACGCAAAGCCAGACACAGGGATTCAGACTGTGATTCTGTCCCTGAGGAGAGATGAACCATGTGTATTTGTGTTAGAATCATTCCACAGTCACCAAGAGATGGAGGAACAGTCAAAATTTATTCGTAACAGTCAAAAAATAAGCATTTATGCCTGTGTTATGCTAATTAGGATTTCTTACTATATATAGATATATAAAAATCGATAATTTTGTATATTGACTATTCACAGCCAAGTTAGCACAACAACACACTGAGTTATAAATACATCATCGAAATCTGAAAATCTGCTTGGACTATCCCAGTGATATCAAGGCTGCCTCTGTTGGAGCAGCTTATCCTAGTTGTAGCGCTGTAATGAGCCTGCTGGCTAATTAACCTGACAAAGTACTTCAAATGTCCATAGTACGTGATCTGGGCACTAGTGTTGATTGCATTGCCAGATTAGGGGTGTGCTTGACTGGTATGTTTAATACCTTTTATTAAGCATTTTTAGTTTGCTGATGTGTAGACTGACTTCTCATTCCTTTGCATTTTCCATTATCATTTCACTGTTCAGTGATTGATTGAAAAATATTTGCCTTGGTTTTACTGTTTTGGACAACAACATCATGTGTTTAGCTTCTACAATCTGACCACACAGTGCAGGGTCTGTCCCGAGAGGCTCACGGAGTGAGGCTGAGAATAGTTCACCTTTACAAATTGCCCCTGGTAGCTCTCGAGGAGCCCCTGCTGCGTACTCTGGACAGTACCTGAGCTTTCCCCTTTATTGGGGAGGGTCGTGGCTGGGAGTGGCCTGCCCTCAGGCTATAGGAATATGTAAACCAACACCCTGCAGCCAGCAAGGAGAGAGTAATGCAAACCATCCATGTACATACTGAGTTGTTTCTTTACAACTGAGCAGATTTCTTTTCTGGCATTTCCCTGTTTACTGAGGTATCTTGTTAATACCTTATTAATACACAACAGGCACACGTCAACAGATGCCACAAGTAATTGCTGCTGTAAAGGAGACACTCACCCTGGAATAGCTCCTCAAGCGAGTAGTGAGAGGTCGTGCCTCCTTCTGTCACAGTGCTGCAGTCCCGCCTAGCTCAGTAGAATAGCAACGGATCTATTTTGTCAGGTATTTTAAAGAAACAAACATTTGTTTTATTATGGTACTTGCCTGATGCTCCTTAGTCACATTTTACACATCACAGACCAGTAATGTTTGTCTCCTATTGCTAAATAAAGTATCCTATGAAAAATCTATCTGTAGCTGGAATGAAAAGAGAACTGAGTGTGAACAGCAACATTGTTTACAACATCACCAGTTCTCATGCAAATGTTACAAAAGTGTTTCTACTGCAATCTCCAGTCCATAGGGTTAATTAGGTGTAACCACAGAAAGAAAATAGGCTTATTACCGTCCCTGTCTTCCCGAGAGCCTGTACTATGTTTCAGATCAACCAGGTACGGGGCTCAGAAAACTTTGTCTGAGCCATTTTGGCTGTTCAGAAGGCTAATGAGCATCCTGATGCTTGCGCATGTGTCAGTACTAGCCATTTTAGGCAAAATGTCAGTGTACAGAATGAGCCCATTCAATAGTTCTAGTTAAAGCGCTGTCATTTAAAACCAAACGATGGATTGTGCTGGAAATTCTGTTGTGCTTACCCTACAGAGTGCGGTAACTTAAAGTCACATTTTACATTAGTTAAGTCTTGTGATTGCTCCTTGATCATGAACATCTTAGTGCACATGTAAAAAAATCACATGATAAAAAACCCACTTTAAATGAAGCAGCAGCTTTTGAGTCCATCAGTTTTTCTGGTAGTCTCAAAGTTACATTTCCGGCTGTAGTTGTTCAGCATCTTTTTGAGTTCAGTAAAGACTTGTGAACATGCCATCGTGATTGTCATCCCCCTGATAAAAGCAAGGGCTTGATGGATAGTATTATGTTCCATTCTTCCCATTCCGCACTGCACTTAGACAAAAAGAGGGCAGGACATGTGCTGATGAAAGGGACAAGAGACTAAGATCCTTTTATGGGAAACGGTCTCTGGCGCAACTGCAGTAGTAGTTAGTGAGCCGTTACTGCTGCACTCACCAGCATCCATCTGAATTTCTAGGTGGCTCCGATTAGTCCACATGGTTACAATAGACTATTAATGATTCCTGCATTACAAGTTAATTACAAAAATAAAAAATTACAAAAGATCTTTCATATAACAGTACACAAACATACCATGTAAAAGATGACTGAATAAAAGGGTAAAACATGTTGCCAGTCTTGGCTTTCCAGACTCTGGATAAGAGTACCACTTCTCTCTCAACACCTATTTCATGTTACGAAATATGGAAAACGGGGTGGAGGAGCATTACCTGTAATGCACTGCTATACTGACAAAACTAAACACTATGTGGTAAGTCTCACTGGCAGAAAAGAGGTAAAGCTTTTCTGCACCACAGCATCAAGCTTCTCCTGGCCACCCCTCTGGACAGGCATGAGGTATTCGTGTTCTTGGTTGTGTGACACATCATCTCCAGTCTTCAAAGGTAGGTGTGAAAAATCTGCTGTCATTCAGCATTTCGTCTTGGCTTAACATCGTCTGAAAAAACAAGATGTGAATGAGTCAGCATGTTCAGTTAGAGGCCTACAGTTAAAGAAATCAGACTGTAATGAGATCAGATTCACAACAGAGGGAGTTAGAGCCACATAAAATTAAAAGGAATTTCTTCAATGCAGCTTTAAATAAACTATCATTTGCTTGAGGAAATTCTCACAGAGATTGCGTGTGTGGCATGTGACTCAACTATGTTATGCAATTCTTCATTATACCTTTCAGTCAACTTTTCGGTGTGGTGGTTTGTTTGTTTTTTTTTTTTTTAATTAGCTGCCACAGAGCCAGGAATTAATACAGTGATTTTTCCTGTTTTCCGTGGAGTTTTAGCTCATGTAAATTTTCAAGTCTGTACCTCTTTGCTAGACTTTGCTGTGACTGAGGCGTTTGATTGTGGTTACTTGCAAAATCTTTGAAGAACTGTTTTCATTTAGGGGGATGAATATCTGTCAGTGGGTCAAAGAGACAGAGCTCATAAAAACTTAAAATAGCCCTAAATGAAGCTTAATTTCTAGTACGATTTAAAAGCAGTTTTTTTCTGACTGTGAATGTGCAACCAGGCTGTAAAGAGATATTTAACAAGAATAATGACCCACATACCCTTAACTATCACCAGCAATGACCAAGTTTCACTGAATTCTAGCAGAATACATTTGTGACTTTAAAACAAGAGTGGAATTAGTACATACCGTAAGATGGCTTATGCCTTCAGAAAGAGCCCCTATTTGCATTACTGTTCCTTCTGAATGTTCCATCTGTAAAAGTATTCAGGAACTAGTTCAAATCAGACAGTACGTGCAATTCTATTCACTCTGCATGCATCTTTGGGAGGGATCTGTGCCTGGGCAAATGAAGTTGTGGTACGTTTAAAAGCTCTGATTTCTGCACGTTAACAAAAATGCCTCCATGCTATAAAGTGTGTGAAAACACATTTAACAATAGGAGGAGTGAATCCTGATTAAGGAAGACTGATTCCATGAAACTTGAGCTGTAATTCACACAAGAAAAGAGAAAGCTTAACTGATATTGTCAGTGAAGAGTAATATTTTCCAGACAGTGTAACACTTATTATACTCCTGGCAGTCGTCTTCCACAGGCAAGAGTCCTTCATGATACAGTCCCACCTATTCTTATATAAAAAGGTTATCAGTTCTAGGGCACTGAGATTTCACTGCATGACCACGTGCTCAGAAGACATGCTGAACTGAAAGACCGCGCTCCTAGAGAAAAATCCAGTATTTTTGTAATGCTTGAACAACGGCTTAGTGTAAAGCTGTTGGCTCAAAGTGAATGCATTCACTTGCAACTCTTAACTGTGCAAGCGGACATCCATAGTAAATTACAGCCAGGGT